TCATCATTCGACTTATAATTGGAGTTAATGCCCTTTGATGACGATTTTTCCCATTTTTTTGCGTTTTTGCCTTATATCTTAAAAACTATAATAGATAGGTAGAAACTTGAAGAAGAAAAAATGATCAGCAAGACAAGATCTACATTTAAGACAAAAAGAGGAAATTTTCCGACGACTCCTTATTGGAGTTATAGCCCTTTAATGACGTTTTTTACAATTTTTTTGCGTTTTGCCTTGTAGGATAAAAATTATAATAGATAGATAGAAATTAAAAAACCCAAATACGATCAGCACGGCAAGATCCACAAACAAATCAAATTTTGTCGATATAGTTAGTAGACTGTCACTCTTCATAGGAGTGATTGCCCCTAAATGAGGATTTTTTTTACCCTCTTTTGTGTTTTGAGCAAAAATTAAAGAAGATTGAGTGAAACTAAGCAGACAAAATGATCAGCAATTCAAGATCAACAAAATATGAAATTTTGTCATGAATTCTATTCTCTACAATATTGGAGAGAGTCCATTTTTGAGTATGCACATAGACCAAGGTGAGCGACACAGGCTATTTAGAGCCTCTAGTTTTAGTTGACATTACAAGATTTAATTTCCAAGGATCATCAAGTCCTGCCTATTTGTGCACCCTACTTAAAACATAAAATAGGTTCATTCACATTACTAGTGGATTTACATTATTTCGATAGATGAATTAAATACAAACTGACATAAAAGTCAGTAGAAGGTAAAGTCTTCGAAATATTATGTAAAAAACACCACTTACAGAAAGCATTGATAGAGTTTTGATAATTCCTCCGAGTACGATAATAATTGTTCTTGTAAATTGCTAGGACGCCGTCCATTGGATACTCTTGATAATCTTTCCTCTTCCCAATTCTCATACTGAAATAAACGTTTTCAACAATCATATTATTTTTAAATTTTCATATTCATATACATTACAAGAAAAAAAAAATCAAGCATTACTATACACACTGAATGTTAAACTAGTGTTATGTCTTTACAATATCCATTGATATCACGGTCATGCAATTACAAACCTTGTCTCTAAAATATCTCTAGATATTAGAACCATGTCTGATATTAATATAATAAAATATTGAAGCATTATTAAATAGTACACGGTAAGTCGTGTCACTTAAATGTCCTTTATATAATCGGACCATGCTTTAAACACCCGCTTTATTCCATAAATAAGCTTAAATGACGGATTAATTCTGTCATAATATGATATCCAGTCGTACAGCAAAAACATAAGAAACAAATCTTTCTGTACCATAAATAGAATTCGAGTAATTCCCCTTTGTAGATATTCTATGATGATCTCTTAAATCTAAACTTCTCTCACATATGTTTGATATTTCAATTTCTTTTTAAAAATCAAGAACCAAAAAAGGGAAGAAATCCATCTAGGAACGATAAGTTTTGCTTTGGCTTTGAAGTGAATCAGACGTATAATAATTTTAACTACTGCATAAATAGGGGGACCAACCAACTGTTTTATCCATGTCAATTCCGATCAATTTTGTGTAAATGCGTCCACGGCTTCTGATTTCGATTCCCAAAATAAAGAATTAAACTAGTCCAGTTTGTTGTTCATAGAACTAGCAAATATATCGACAGTGTTGGGACCCCATAAAGAATCTATGCAAGAAATGAATTTATTTGACACTACCAAATCTTCATGATCAATCATTCTACTTATACGGTAAGCTTTATGAAAGAGGAAGATTGTAATCACACTGAAAAAATGGATAAAGGCAGTTTTCGTTAATGTTGTTTTGTACTTCCTGATTTAATAATGAGTACACACATTTTGTTGTCTGTAAATCATTTCATAGTTTTCTTTGTAAATGTATTCTCAAAGTCTGACAATCCTGTTCAATTGTTCACGCCATATGCTACTTTCAAGTTTTTTTTCAGATTCATTCCACATTTTATGAAAAAAATCTATTGATCAGCCTCAACAGTATACGCTCCAGCAGCTCAGCGACTCGCATCTAAAAATATCATTCATGACGAAACACTATAAGAAGCTAGAATCTTCAAATTTACCATTTGGCTCTCCGGAATGTTTAAATATGCAGCCACGTCTGGTTAAAATCGGGACGTTAAATTAAATCGAATTTTCGTGTAGGGTGAGTTCCGTGCTCTCTTCACGTAAAGAACCCTTAGGGGGATTCAGGTGACATGTTCCAATTAAAATTTGTGTATATCCAATCTACCATATTTTTTCAGTTGCAGTCCAAATTTAACGCTCTTCATCCAGGTAGACCTTCCTTACATAATCTACCTAATGCATTAATTGTAAATTTCTCCCGGTCCTGAATATACATGAAATTTTGCCACTGGATGTTAAACGAGCAACAATCTATCAATCAATTAATCAATCAATCAATCAATTAACTAATCAATCAATAATTAATCAATCAATTAACTAATCAATCAATAATTAATCAATCAATTAATCAATTAATTACTCTGATAACTGTTTTCTTCGATATATTGTTTGTTAACCCCCGCTTGATATCGGGTTTCTTTTAGTACTTATTAACTTCATTTTGCTACTACCTTTATAACTTAAGATGTGGCTAAATAATAAACGATAGTTTTTATCATATTGTTGGATCCAAATGTCATTGTTTGTGGACAAAAGCAATTTGACGTTGTCATCAATGCGCCGTTAAAAAGAAATTAATGGTTGAAATCATGAAGACATAAATTGAAGCTACCCTCGTTTACATATATCCAAAAATAAAATTCTGAGATAAACCCCGAGTGGTAAAAAGAGTGGGATAACGGCATATGACCATTCTACAATTTTGCAAAAGAGTGGCATTCGTTTTGGCTTTATCGGATGTATAAATACACAGACACGCCATATCGCAATAGTGAGGTTAACTACTTTTTAATGGTCATATAGTTGACATGTTGGAAGGCAAAATGTCTGTCCATTTCCAAAATTGACTATCCGGTATGAGTCATTCTCATTGTTGAAGGCCTTACGGGGACCTATTGTTGTAATCTGGTGGAGAGTTGTCTCATTGGCAACCATACCACATGTTCATATTTTATATCTTTATTTTCAAAGGGTATTAAAAATTCTTCTATGTGAACATACTTTGCGGAAACTAAGTATTGAATAACTTATTTTCCGTCTTGAAATTTTTGCCAACGGGTGATAACAACAATCAATATTCTCCGAACAAAACACTTATCGGTATTTATTTTATCAGTTGACCATTTAAATAAATACTTGTTTAGAATTAAGGTCGCCAAGTTTAATCACGTGATCGATTTATATATTTTGTTATCAGATCATGGTTACATGAGTTTGGTTGAAGTAGCTATAGATTCACACAAATAAGGAAGTATTTGAATTGCAATCGCTTATACTGATAAATGGATAACATGGGCATATTCATAGTGTTGTGTATTACATTTGTCTACCCATATAGAACTGTTCTTGCAAAATGCAATATCACATTAAATTTATTAGGCTACAAGGAGGCTATGTGCAAATACCAAGGATTTACATCGGTACCGATGAATTTACCACCTGATATAACGAAATTGGATTTAAGTTTCAATAGACTGACCAGACTGGATTCCAACGGATTTTATAGATATAAGTATCTAGAAGATCTAATAATTGATAATAATGCCATCAGAATGTTGCATGCTAAGGCTTTTTATGGCTTATCGTTTTTGAGACATTTGTCTTTGTCTAAAAATAATCTGGATGTATCTAATTCGTATCCTCATGAAGTGTTTGGGTCCCTACAGAATTTATCAGTTTTAGACATTAGTAAAAATATGAAACGATCAAATTACAGCCCGTATAAAGTTCCCGTCAGTGATCTCAGTACATTGCGTGAGCTGAGCATCGATCTTGTATTAAATGCAACGTTTGGACAGCAGTTCAAGAAATTGTACAATTTACAAAAATTGAGATTTGATTATTGCCACGTAAAGTATTTATACAATGAAACATTTTTAGGAATGCCGGTAAATATAAAGGAATTCCACATGACCACTTGTAAAAACTTTGTCGTCATTGAAGGTGGCGTTTTAGTTCCATTTCAACATCTAAAAGTCCTGAATCTTACTAGCAGCAATATTCACTTAACACAGGCTCTAAACATTTTACATCCATTTCAGAATAAATCAATGGATGCACTTCTCTTTCGTGGAATTACGTTTGCTGATTATAAACATGGCTTAGACGCAGTAATTCTTACACTAGAGATGATGAAATATGTAAAAAATATCTGTATAAAAACCATTGACCTTTCTGACAATGACATTATATTAGTTAAAAATAGGTCGTTAACTACGTTTCAACGTCCAGAGTGCTTTGAAAATGTTATGTTATCTGCGAATAGTTTTAGTTTGGATAACTGGGCAGTTGATTTCTTCATATTTTTATTCACGCTGACCAAAATTAAAATAATTGATTATTCATATTTTCCATTACGGTTCAAAAATCCAGTTTTCCTTGACGTAGTAACAAAAAATAATCATACAACAGTTGAACAGGTTCAGGGCAAATGGGGAAGAAAGGTCATTCCAGTAACAGTAATTGTTCCGAGTCAAATCCAGTTTGTGAGAATAACGCATGTTATGGCTATAAATGCCTTTAGGGAAATAAAAACAACAAACAGCTCACTTCGTCACCTCGAAATATCTTACTTTGAAACACAGATCTTTCCACATTTAACCGTTGATGGATTAAATTGTTTGGAGCATTTGGATTTGTCAGGAATCAGTTCAGTATTAACTATTGGAGAGAGAAAAATTCCAGTTTTAATACATCTTAAAACACTTATCTTGAAAGAAACACACTTGTTCAATATTTTACAAACTAGTACAACAATATTAATGTTTTGTCCAAATATAATGAATTTGGATATATCATATAATTATATCTGGATGATCAAAGCAAATTCACTTGGACAACTACTTAATTTAAAACAGCTCAATTTATCTCATAATTTGTTTGAGACTGTTCCAGATGAAGTTACAACGTTTTATAACATTGTCGAACTCGATTTGTCATACAATCAATTAACAACAATTGAAAAGAATATGCTAGAGTGGATTGATACCCAGCATAAAGAACATGGAACTTTTGAATTATACCTAAGTAATAACCCATTAATTTGTTCGTGTGACACCAGGAAATTTCTACGTTGGATGTTGACAACTAAAGTAAAGTTGGATAATAATGGTAATTACAGTTGTTTGGTTTCTTCAAGAAAAGGTATCAACAACTATACAAGAAATGTCGCTGAAGACTTTCATCATTATTTCGTTGACTGTGATACTACCATATGGATCAAATTAGGCGTGTCATTATTGGTTTCTGTTTTATCGAGTGTGCTTTGTATTGCTCTATTATACAATTTCAGATGGAGGATAATTTTCTTTTTCTTTCGAAATTTCCGGAGATTTGCTGAGAAAGGTCTCGAGCTAACTTTTTATTATGACGTTTACGTTTCGTATTCCGATGACTGTGAGTCGTTTGTAAAAGAATTACAAGAGAAAGTAGAAGAGGAATGGGGATTCAAAGTTTGCTTTGAAGATAGAGATTTCATTGTAGGCGAATCGATTGCTTATGAAAGAGCTACGTCCATTAACAGATGCAGACACATAATATTTTTAGTAACCCCGTCAATTGTTAAAAATGAATGGACTCGTTTTGAAATCGAGCGAGCAAAGTATGAAAAGTTTACCAAAAATCTTCAAAAGATTGTTGTTATTACAAAAGATATCCCTTTGGATACTATTCCTGTAGAATTTTCCACTATTTGGAAAGATGTACTTTTAATCCAATGGCCGATTGAGAAGGAAGATGTTCAAATGGCTTGGCAAAAGCTTAGACTTTGGTTCTTTTGATAGTGTATAAAGAAACAAGATTTAACAGAATGTTTAGTATACCACGCATAATACACTTATGTAAGTGGGTTTCCTTCGTAAATATTATTTATTTCAAAGTGTTCTTCCGTATGTTTTTTTCTATCTAGTCAAGATAAATAAGAATGCATATCGCTGAGTGTATTGTAGATTCTTACTCCAGCACTTGTTTTTGTACATACATGCTACTGATGAGATATATGTTCAATAATTGATAATTTATCATTGTAAATAAACTCATCATAGATACTAGGATTGAAATTTTGTATTTGCGCCAGACGCGCGTTTCGTCTACAAAAGACTTATCAGTGACGCTCAAATCAAAAAAAGGTTAAAAGGGCCAAATAAAGTACGAAGTTAAAGAGCATAGAGATGCTTTGTGTTTAATGTTTTGCAGTTAGTCAATAAAGTGAAAACTTTTATAAAATATTCCAGCTAGATTAAAAGTGACAATATAATAAAAAGAATCAGAAAACCATGAGTGGAAACACATAACACAATAACAAAAAAGACGTGGAGACAAACAACAGTCCACAAAAAAAACACAATAAATTATGTGCGAGTGGTCATAGCCCCATCAAAAACCAGAGTGACGTCAATGTCATCCGCGAAATGTACCTGAAACACTTAATAATAAATCAAATAACTCTTTATAGTTTGATACTGTTTTCAAATTTTAATAAAAACTGTCGATTGTGTTGCCGGTAATAACATTAACGGTACCAATTTCTCTTCACCAAATGCGCATTTCGACAATTAAAGTATCTCCAGTGATGCTCGATGCCAACATATTTGAAAATCCAAACCTTATAAGAAAATGAAGAGCTTATAAACCGAAAAGGACAAAACGTATAGACCAAGCCGGGAAATGAATCAGAGCTTTGTATGAAGGAGATATATTCCTTAATTAAAATTTCTAATATTTGTAACAGCAAATTTTAATAACACAATATCCGTATTTTCATGCCAGTACTAACGCACAGGCTACTGGGCTGGTGATACTCTCGAGGACTAACAGTCCACCAGCAGAGGCATCAACCCAGTGATAGTAATAACATTAACGGTACCAATTTTTCTGCACCAGATGCGCATTTCGACATTTAACGTCTCTTCAGTGATGCTCGAGGCCAAAATATTTGAAAATCCATAGCTTATAAAAAAAAAATGCAGAGCTTATAAACCGAAAAGGACAAAAAATATAGCCAAAGACGGGCAAGGAATCATAGCTTTGCATGAGGGAGATATATTTCTTAATTTAGTTCAAATAATTTGTAAAACTGTGTAACATGCGTTGGTTTTTCCGTTTGAATGGTTTTACACTAGTGATTTTTTGGGGCCCTTTATAGCTTGCTGTTCGGTGTGAGTCAATGCTCCGTGTTGAAGGCCATACCTTGACCTATAATGGTTTACTTTTATAAATTGTAACTTGGATGGAGAGTTGTCTCATTGGCACTCATACCACATCTTCCTATATCGAAGTACCGAAGTCTCATTCGGGTAGATCACATTTGGGAAAAAAAGGATTGTGGTTACGACAATTGGAACACACCCGTCGTCATCTGTGAAACAAATATTCTATAACGGTCAACCAACTTGTGATGGCATCCGTAAAATTTTCAAAGGGATGATTTAAACTTCAACTTCAATAAGATGCATATTCAGAATAAAAAAATAGTATTCGATTTCTTTGCGAACAAATGTTTCTGGAGTAACCTTCAAATACAAAGTAGGCTCAAAGATAAGGTAGATGTTAATGTGTCATGGATATTTCCTAAAGTATGTCCAATTATTCACATGTTCAAGGTAACAGTCGACAGGAAAACATGTAATCTAACCTTGACAATATCCAGACAATATCTTTGAGCTTTAAACAAGGGAAGAAATACTTGTTAAACCCTTTTCGCAAAACAAATATATAGAAAAAATGCTGTATTTTAAAATTGACTACATGTCTAATAAACAATAATTCCCTTGTGTAATACCTTAAGTAATGTACAGTCCAAAGTGGGTTTCTTTGTGCCTCACTTTATTCTTCAAAGTTACCTTCCATAGAGACCTTTATCTGTAGCTGTGCATTTAAGATATGAAATGATGAAGTGATTAATGTATTTTAGGAAGGAATCATTTGATTGTCAAGGAGTATTACACATATGAAATGTTCTTATTATTTGTATTAGTAAACGGATTAATATAAGTTAACAGCTTGTTTCCGGATCCTATTGATTATTATAGTGTTATTAAATGGGTTTTTTCATATCAAGCGTAGTCGATGGCCAATCCAGTTGATCCAGACCCAATACGACTATACAAGGACATAATACAGGATTAATATAACACCCATTTTATGACACCTTTATTAACCAATGACTTAAAATAACCACCAAAAGCTGACTGAGGATATACACGACTGTAGGAAGACTCATATGGGATCAATACCAATTATTTGGGTTAACTATCATTTTAATGCAAGGAATGTCGAATAACCATATAAATTGATAACGTGCAATGAATTACACTTTTACTACCGTCATTTACCATTTGAGCCTCTCGATTTTTACACGAGTTTTCTCCCATAAAAATGACGTAACTGACGTATGTAAACAAAATGGCAACGGCGTTGCATATCCAAGATTGTCAACCCAACAAATTTCTCTCACTTCGGACTGTGCCCTCAGAAAAATATTCTTTTACGGTTTACAATTCTTGATTTTCATCTATTCTACGGTCCATAATCGTATATACCCAAAGAAAATGAAGTATTACATATGAAAAATAACAACAACTCTTACATCAAACTTGTTGAAATCTAATATTTTGCGTAATACACACATCAATTTTTCTGACACCTTTTTGAACAAAACACCGGAAGCAAAAATCCTGTATTTAGACCAGAAAAATTTCTTTATCAGCCGGTTTTTCAGTATTAGACCTGCATTAACGACCAGTTCTCAGACACGTGGAATTGTATTTACTGGACAATTAAAAATATATCTTAAGTCATTGGTTAATAATCAGTTGTATTAATATGTTAATGCCAAATTGTGTATATTATATAACTTGAATTTAATTAATAAAGTATGATTACACTAAGGAAACGAGAACGATATTTTCCAGTAATTCAATTCGTTTACTTTTATTTCTGAAGATAATTATCTTCATACATAGCTTCTGTTTGATAGATAACAGAAAAGTCATAGCTAAATGTATCTACCAAATATCCTCAAACTATAACGTTTGTTAATATAAAACAAAGAGTTGTGGTTTGATTGCACATGATACAACTATCCACCAAAGTTTTAAGTAACTTTACACGACCGTACGATAATCTCCATTGGAAATTTTAAAACTTAACATTTGTTTACCGTTGTTGAATATCTAATTTTAATAACTTTATTTGTAAGCAATACAGCTCGTAGAGTGTATTCATTTTTCAACTATTTACAACAGAATATCGTTGTTCAGTGTCCAGATAATAGTTAATGAAGAAACAACATGAAATCAAAACGACAGAGAACATATGAAACAATCAACAGCTAGGGACTATTTCGGAAAGAAATAAATATTTTTCTAAGTATATTAGTATTCATTTCTTATAAATTATGTAGGCATTACAACTAAATAAAAAGTTCAAAGATTACAATAGGAATAGCAACATAATATTGATATATAGGATTCTGCATCAAATACACAATGACTATTTAGATTTAATCATTCTGCTCCTTTACACAGATATTGGAAGACCATAAAGGTATCAAATTTTATTGTGTTTCATTTTTTTCAACCATTGGGTACCTATAACAAAGAGAACAACAACCTTGTTAGAAAAACACGAATAGTTTTAAACAAAATAAATCCGAGTTATTCCACATTGTCCGACGAATGTCACTTTAAACAACTAAAATTGACGAATAATGGGAAATCACATAATTTGTTTTTAATTTTTCAATTTCGATGTCATGTGCTTTGTAGGCTCCCCAAACTTTATAGCAGTAGTTAAGGATACTAGATATATATGTGGTCAAATAATTAAAGCAAAGTTCCGTGATTCAAAACGATCATCATATGTTTTTCAAAATCAACTATAAACTGCCTTTTCTGCTCGATTCACTTACATTTTTTGAGTGAACATAGTTACCTTTATATAACCGAACAATACACCAAGATATACAAATTGTTCACATGATTCTATTGGTTCATCATTTACAAACCATCTCTCAATCGCCTTAATAGGCCTTTTTTCTAATTTTTATTTTCGAAACATTAACATGCATGACATATTCACTCATTGGGTCAGCGCTAACACCATCAGTTAATTATTCGTAAAACCGTATCATCAGCATACATAATCAAATAAAAATTAAGCATTTTTTACTTATAAGGTCAATTCCCATGGCATGGACGTAAGATCTATACAAAAAAAGACTGATAGGCATTAGACCAACATTACTTGAGAAAAAAGTTTTAAAAAATGCCATTAAACTGCTACTTTTTTAATACATTATCTTTATCAAACTTTATAATTTACCAGTAATAACATTTTTAACTAGTCTTAGCCATAACTTCAGGTGAGACTCACTACATGTATCCATAGCTTTTTCGGAATCTAGAAAACAACAGCATATTCTTTTACCAAAACATAGTGACTTTATAATCAACTAATGGAGGGCGAAAATGGCGTCGTTCATCCCGTATCCTTGTCAAAAACAACAACCGTGCCTCTGTTTGTATGCTAGTCTATTAGTATGCTGTGCTTGTCGCTCCACTCCGCGAGCCTTTCATGATCATAGACGAGAACAATTTACCATCATTTGAGACGAGCACAATACCACGATAGTCACCCGGTTCATTTTAATTGTCCCTTCTTAAAAATGTGTTAGGCTTTTGTTTATATTTTTTGGAAAATTACCGGAGTTAAGTTAACAGTTGAATAAATTACACAAAATTGGTTTTATAAAATTTCCACTGAATAAGATAAACTCATTCATTTTTTTATCAAATCATGCTGTTTTTCCCGGCCGTCAACATCGTGATAGAGGTGTATAGTTCGACTTCCGTAAATGTTGCATCAAGTTCATATCTGAAAAAAACGTTAATGAAAAATTATAAATCTGCATTAAAGAATATGTAGATGAAACTACTTTATATCTGTTAAAATCGAGGTGTGCTTATGAAGTTCCCTT